CTTCCAAGCTGATGCTCGTACTGGCATTTAAAACTCTTCACTCCAGTTTGAGTCTTGTCTTGCACTGATATCCAAGTTTGCCTCAGATTGAAATCAAAGTCTCCACCCAATAAAGTAAATAAATAGGAAAATAGGAAAACTTATTATTCTTAGCGATTTTTACTTTCTATTACTTTCTTAAATGCACATTTTTAATTATTAAGATTAGTACAGATCATTTTGGCGAATTTTACAGCGCCTAGAGCAGGCATGGATAGGCGCTATATAAATATTTATTTATTGTTATTATTAAATATATTATCTTCCATGGGTGGGATTGCACACGCAGTCCATCACAAGGCTATGGTTACGTAACCCCAAATTAAACACATCAGTACCCATTTATACACCTGGAGAGGGGTGCAGTGGCACCCCTCACAAGTACTATAATGTATTACACGAATATAGTATTATAATGTATTATACGAATGTATTTTACAGTACATGTACATGTACATCATAATAGTTTTATTTACACAACCTTTCTTCTGAAGATCTCCAATGTGTTTGAAATTGGGAAGTAAGGGTAACAGTTGTTGTTGACATAGAGATTGGCAACAAGGGCTGCAAATAATTCCACTACAAACACCTGTGAGAAAAATATTTAACAGAAAATAATTTACACATACAGTGTAAAGTAAAATAAAAATAGTTATTTGGAGACTGCAGAATGGTTTTTTTGAGCCATTGTTTATGTTTGGCATCTCAAGGTGTTACTGTATGCGGTATGTGAGAGTAGAGAGACCATCACAGATGAACTCTTCCCCCCCCCTCCCCCTCTTCCCCTCCAAAACACACACACACATAGACATGTACCTCCACCATTCTGTCAAAATAACCTAACAGACCACTGATACTCATTCTTATTCCTCAAGCAGAGAGAAATGAAGTGATAGTCAAGTTTCTTCCCTTCTCTGAAGATTTTTGTTCCTTGAGAAGTGACTACCAACTAAACATCCTGCGGTGTATTTACTTACCTTACCAGACTGAATAATTTTAACCAACACTTTAAACAATACAAAGACATGAAAGATGACATCAATGTCTTCACATCTTCCTCTGCAGCCAAATTTACTTACAATAGTATTAACAATACATGTACCTTGAAGGGAACATCTTTTGGAGGTTTGATCTCACTTGTGGAAAGGAATTGTTGTTTTGCCTTTGTAACAAGTACCTCTGCCTCTTTCACTGCCAGCTGTGCAAAAAGGAAAATTTTACACAAGTTTCAGTTCCAAGCTTAAAATACTAACCTTTTAAACAACGGTCAAATATTGTAGATTTCACACAACTGCTGTACAGTGTATCTGACCACTTCTTCAGTAAAATACTGGTTCATCTGGCCGAATTTTATTTAGGCTGAGTTAAACTCAAAAAAACTGCTAGCCAGCAGTGTCCCTCCTTGATGTGGAGTGGTCTGGGGGTTCTGCAGGGAGGCCCAGGAATTTACAGCTCTCTTGTGCGAGGTCAGACCATTTTTCTTGTGTTGCTTAACATTTACGTTGTCTCCAAAGGCTTTGCTCACAATCCATCCCTCCCTAAGTTAGGCATAGGCCAGGTTAGTACCCTGTACGCTCGGCTCATAGGATGTATCTCAACCAGCCTTACAGGCACCTTCCCCACACTCATCTACTGTTGATGAGTTCAAACTCTGATAATTATGTACATCCATTATACTGACCTTTCTCTTTTCATTTGGACAGTCATTAGACAGGGAAGTCACACAGAGTGTGTTTATGTACCACTCCATTGCTTGTTCCAAGCGGAGATTAGAATTGACCTGTGTTCCAGTCAGTATAAATGCCAAGGCTTTTTTACAAGTGTCTTCGGGTATATCTGAAGGTGAAGGAAGCTTTCCTGTCTCAGTAGAATTGTTGTCCGTTACAAAGACAGTGAGGAGCTCCTTAGCGCTTGAATAATCCATGTTTCCAAGAGTGCACTGTGAAAAAGGTACATTACCTCTGGAATCTGGAATAGATAACAGAGGTAGCAACCATTAAGCTGGGCTGAAAGTACAAAAGGAAGTACAAAACTACAGTTGACAGGTCTGAATGTCTGCAAGATGAAAAGTACAATTATTTATTTGTACATGTACTGTGTATGTAAGTGACTTTAATCTGTAAGTCTGCAAAGCTACAATAGACTATACTACTTATTCAAGTAACATTTTCTGGCCAGTCTGGAAGTCTAATGGTCTCAAAGTATCAGCTCTGTGCTGGTTCAATTTAGAAGTTTGCCAGTATGCATGTGTTTCAGTAAGACGGGAATCTACCAGGCTGCAAATCTAATAATAATTACATTTAGAATGGTAAAAGTTACTTTGCAGCTACTAAATAGGCCATTTTCATATTCTTGGTGTTGGACTGAAACTAGCTTGCAATGGAGGCTCATGTGGGGAAATAGCATTAAAGAGAGATAAATGTCATTTGCATTGCATCTGTAGTTCCAGTCCAATACAGAGAATATGAAAATGGTCAATTGCAAAATGAGCTGTGGTCAAAAACTGCACCACAACACAATTTACCTGTACACAGCAGTGTGAAAGGAAAGTCCTGTCTGATAGTTCAGGGTTAGATGATTTTCCACTGAGGCTATGGAATTCTGCCCTTCACTTGCCTAAGCAGGTTACATGTAAGTTTCTTGGGAAACTTTTTGAGGAATTCAAATAAATTATTTAAAGTACTGTAATGGACAAACATTTTGGGGCTAGTGAGAATGATTTTTAATTACGCCCAAAAATTTGTTTTCTTTGCATCCTGCATCCTGTACATGTACACGTAACTGACCTTTAAGAACTGTGTTTGTTATAACACTTTTAGTTATGTCTGTTGAGACTGGCAAAGTCAACACATTCAGAGCTTGGTTGATCTTTCCTGTTTTGGCCAGTAACAGTACAAATTTCCTCCTGTACTGGGTCATGTTTGTTAGCCGCTGGTCTGTAGCTGTTACAGATACACCATGATAATGATATGAAGAGTTCCTGTTCTTTTGGGTTACTTTGCAACTTAACAAGTAAGATAAAGCATCTGAGAATCTGGGAGAGAGAAAGAATTTGAAGCAGAATTACTGGTGGTCTTCTGACAAACAGAAATTGATAGAAGAACAACATATGTATAATTATGTAGGTGTCTGAAATAATTACACACGTTTCTGAAGACATACAGCCAAACGCATCAATTACATGTAAAAAGCAGGCAGATGATAAGGGCAGTCAGCAGACATAGTGACAGACCAACTAATAGAATGACAAGGAGGCAGGTAGATAGAGAAGACAGAGAGAAAGACAGACAGACGAGAAGACAGGCAGACGAGAAGACAGGCAGACAGACAGACAGGTACAGGACAGGTACAGGACAGGTACAGGACAGGCAGGCAGACAGGCAAACAGATAGAAAGAAAGACATCACCTGATAGGAAGAACTGACAAAAAACAAAAATCACATTACATGTACTTCATGTACCTTTTATTCTTTTCCAAGAAAGCCAGTCGAGCTTCAGCCACATCATCATCCTCTTTGATGAAATCATTTCCTAATTTACCCGCAAAACACTTGACAAGTAATTCATCAGTCCACTTCTTCATTTCAAGAATCCTAAACCAGGGCCATAGAACAAAAAGCACATTGGACAAAGTGTCCACTGAATATTACTGCATAATTTGTAACTATCATTCACTGTTGAAGCCCCATAGTAGGGTTCAAAGAAAACTTCCTGCAGACAAGCAGCTCTCAAATTTTGCTTGGCCTGGACAAGTCTCAGTTTACTTATTTTCTATTTACATGTGCATGTGCACGTAGGTTGGTTGATCATCAGTTGTCCACCAGGAAAATATATTTGCCCCTGATGACTGGATGGCAATTTTTTCACCTTTTTCTCTGCCTTGCACTTGCCTCATTGCAATAATAGGGACCTTACGCAAAACACGACAGCAACGGCAACGAGAATGTCACCAAACAAAAGGTTTAATAGCAGAACAATGGCTATGCACATGCACTATAATTCTTGGTACATTTCTTTGCTGTCCTCTGTAACACAGCAACGTGAAATGACCATATTCTGCGTTGTCTGGAGAACGTGAACCACAACAGCTAATTTTCCATCTTTCTATTTGGAACTGAACGCATTCATAGCATATTCAGCTGGGGCAAGTTTTAATACCGACAGACACACTGGGCAGTTCCAAATAAATGCGAAATTCCAAGGTAAAATAGAACCACATTTTTTATGTTGTCCTCGCCGTCGCCGTCACATATGCCTAAGGTCCCTAATATTCTTACAAACCTACACTATCCAATGCTGATCTCAAGACTTAGAGACCCCCTCCACNCCCCCCACCCCACTAAGTAGTTTCACACTTGATTGTACTGCTTCCACCCTGTTTGCAGGCCCTTCACCCTCCGAGCCCTTTGGAGGTCTGGGTCTAGTGGTTGCTACTCACAGGGTTGTCATGGATACACTACACGCTCAGTTTAGTTTGCTCTTGGGCTCCACCATCCTTTCAGGCACCATTCCCCAAGCTCATTGTTGTTGACGAATTTAACAACAATTTTCCTAAATGCATGGGCCACAAACGTACAGTACATAGAAGCTGTTCATATAAACATCACCTGGAGTACACCTGCGTAAAAAGGGACTTACACATTCAAGCCAGAGCTCTCAGGTGAACAAATCATAGCTCCATCGATAGCATTCTTTAATCGTTCTCTAACTTTGTCCTCCACATTCTTGGGCAGGTCAGGGTGCATTAGCACTTCAATCCAAGCCTTTCGCAAACTATTGTTAAACCAACGACAGAAATGTGAATACAATATTATGTACAAGTAGTGTATTCCATACAAGTACATTTCGTGCATGTACATACACTAATGACTCATAGAGGCAGCTGAATACAGTTGTAGTATTAGACAGGGGCTAGTGCTTAACAAAATTCATAATTCCAACTCACACTACATCCTACATGTAAAGGAGAAACTGCAATCTAATGACAGAAAATGGGCTTTCTACATGCAAGACTACAGAGCATGTGAAACTACGTGTAAATGTAAACTGCAAAACTCTAAACATTATGAAACAGTGGTCCTCCTTGGAAAGTAAGGTCATACAGAGAAATATTTCAAAGAAAATGGGAACCAAATTGCTGTCTTCAAAAGCTGTTTACTAAATTTCAAGTTTGCCAAAAAGACAAAAAAAGCAATCACTGTATACACTCTACCTTTTAATTGCTGAAGTGACTTGATGGGAAGGCCATCTATTGTGAAGATAACAGCAAAATTAGTCATTTATGCTGATATGCACAAGTGAGACTATACACTCACATACATATACAATGTGCATGTACATAATTTTCAAGTGAGTGTCGCAGATATCATTTTTAAGGAGAAAATTGACTTTTACTGTGCTGTACATAATTATTATGTATAATATGTAAACCGCACAATGTGACAAAATTTAAATGCAGTATGTGCTCTAAGTATTGCCAATAATGACTACTGCTCTATTCATTATATTATCTCATAGTTATGCCATAGTTTTAACATCCGTATTGTACATAATTTTTAGATGGCCACTGGTTTGTTAGTATTTGTGACCTTTCACGCGAAAACGTGCTATAACGACTTTCCGTTTTCGAACGGAATTCCGTTTAGAAGCCGTTTGAAAGCCGTTTGAAANAGGAATCAACGAGTCAGTTACAGTTACATTGGACAATTATTATTTTGCAAAGGCAAAGAACAATTTTTTCGACTTCTCTCCCTTTATACCAGGTAAAGAATTACACAGACGCCTGGAGTCCATGTAAATGACGCCTTCTGACAGCTGTATTGTTGTTTTAAGTCAGTCAGTAGTTGTTTATTATGCAAACACTATTTTAGTGCTACCCTCTTTAAATAAAGTCTTTACTTACTTACTTACTTACTAATGCATGTATGTGGGTGGTCATGCATATTAAGTGGGTCGCCATAAAACAGGGTCCTATTGTATATGCAGCATACATGCAGTTGTGAAAGTCTCTTACCCAGTTGGCAATCGTAAGTTGCAACTTAAATGGAATGTGAAGTTGACTAATTTCTGCCTGTACATGTGCTCAATCTTTTTTTTATTATTATTTAGGGCGTGCCAAAATGTAAATTTACCCATATGCACAACTCGTGCATACTACAGTATCTTGTTTTAGAATTTTTATGATGCTATAATTATTTTTGTTTATCAAGGAAATTAATCTACAGAATGGAAGTGCTTTTGGGTGTAACTGTATCAATATGCCAGAGAACACTTAACAGACATAAGAAAGGAGAGACCTTCTGTTAAACAACAAGTCACCTTTTAATGGTGGGAAGATCACACTTTTCGCACATCTGGGAATCTCTAAATACAGGTTTGACAAATAAGGACATTCATGTCACGCAACATGTCACAGTAACCAATAGAAAGGAGCCATGATAATTTGCCACACATAATTTGACAGCATTGCAACATACTTAGATAAAGACCATAACTAACTGTTTCCAAGATTTGCACATCATACTCCCATCAACTGCATTTAACTGCTTCTGTCATAAAACTTTCTAAAACTAGACGCTCTGAGAGCCTTTACTCAGGCTTCGTACCACAGTATCAAATCATACTTTACGAAACCGCGTATTGGACACAATAAAAACAAACTGAAGAATCAGGATATTTTAGCGCACAAGAGTTCCGCTTAGATATTTACTATTCAAGTTGCTTCGTTAAGTATCCTCCTCATCCTGTCGCAAGTTGTGAGTTTAAACCATTTTGGTTCACAGCTGTCTCTGCGTTGATGGAGAAGTTGTTTGCAAAGAATTTTCGAGGTCTTTTTACAACTTATGGCAATCACTTTGTACATGCTAGCAGAAATTATACGAAGTTTGTTTACTGGTCGTGGCAATCTGAGTAAATTGTGTAGCTGAACAACTTTGCCGTGTTGCGATCTTAAACCCTTTTCAAGAGTCATATCTCCTTTGGAGGGCGAATAATCCCTTCCGAGAGAGCCAAAACAAATCATGATAAACTCCTTCGCAAAAACAACAGTCCTGTGACTAGGCTCAAATTGCATTGCACAAAATTTGTATAAACTTTCAAGTTGTGTATTTTGCAGATAACTTCCAAGAATTTGCGACCCTTAATGCAGTTTGTGAGGAAATACTCAAGCTACATAATTATTTTTATTGAATCAAGGCAGGAGTATTTTTAAAAAGAACTCTCATTTATAGGGGAAGATGCGGCATTCTGTTTTGCTATTTATTTTGGTTTCATGCTCGTCTAGTTCATGTCACGCAACATGATTTTCTTTTGCAGTCAGACACAGTTTTCTAATTAAAGAATTGGCGATAGCTAAGACTGCTAAATGTATTTGAACTACTAGTAAAATAACTGGCTAAACTATCGCGTCAACTCAGATGTTCCTTAGGACTTGGCAAGAAGATTGGTTCGTCGATAATCCTGCACAATTCCCTACACAATCGAAGGTTTAATTCTCCCACACAATGTGCCTCCAAATTTACACGTTATTTTTTTTTTCCTGCACCCTACTAGAAAGCCAACTAACTTGGAGATAAGATCTTTAATTCAAGTTACCGAAAGTCTTATATTTACAACTTTGGGGATTGACATATTTTGCGTGGTGCAAGAAACAAGTCGCATGTTTTTAATGCACTACGAGTCCAAAATTGTTTTGAATTCGTATTTAGCTCATTCTATTGCAATATGACTCATTTTACTGCAATGTTCCAAATAATAACAGCAGTAACCACATACCGTCATTGACTAACTATTTTTTGCCAGTGTTTTCGTAGCTTGAACTCATACCACAATCGGCTCAGTTGTTATCTCACGAGAACGTTTCGAGCGTGAACTTTGCTTACCTGGCTGGCTTTCAAGCAATATACGTAATTTGTAGACCAACCCTTTCTGAAAACGATCGACATCTTTGTATGTGAGATGAACATATAAGGCACAATTCTCACCAAAACTTTCTTCACAAAACACTGCATCCTGTCACGAAGAGTGAGCAATGTCACATTTCTCGTCCCCAGTTTCCATGGTCTACGCATGGAACGCCAGAGACAATGACCCCCCTTTTGGCAACCAAAATGCTTGCATTTTATGACTCAAGCTTTCCTATGGAAACCCGTGTAGTTAATGTGAACATGGTCAAGAAAAATGACACAAAGATATGGCATTCCTCAACAATAAATTCATCATTAGTGTACCTTTCATTGTCAACAGGTAACAGTACCACTGTCAAGGCATCAAGTACAAGAGCTGCTGAGCCTGGCTGATTATCAGCTAAATACTCTTTAGCTTTGCTTACAGTAATGGAGACATTTCCAGTTAGATCAAAGCCGAATCTGTCATATCTGTCAAGTAACCACAAATAATCAGAATGCAACCATGAAATTATACAGAAATTTCACAGTCACAGAACTTAAATACTCGCTTTTCTTATCAAGAAATTAAATTCAAATAC